GTCACTCGTTTTGCAAAAATCAAACAAAAACTCGCCTTTCACAATGTGATATTTAACGCCAGTAGAATGCCTTTTTGTCTTATATTTACACCAAAAGATATAGTTAAGCAATATCATATGAACAACAGTGCTGTTCTCTACCAAATAAAAGCACAATTGCAAAAGTCATAGTGAATTTATAAAGTAGTTAAATAAATACTGTACGTTACAATTTAGACACAATTAAATAACTGAAACAACAGGCAGAACTGTTTTGCTTTTCAGAGTAGCGCATATCGGTGCTTCATTACTGAATGAATCCACATAGAGAATGATCAGTTTAATGAATCAGCTATTTGAACAAAGTTTAATGAATGATTCAATGACTGAATTAATTAGCCGTTTAAACAAACCATTGAAATTACTTAATGAAACAACTCATTAAGACAGTGACTTGCTGGTAACTGGTAGTTAAATATACAATTAAACACATAGCATTGTTTTTGCTATTGTAAATTTATTTAACCTTTGTGCGTCCCTCCCGTACCTGTAACAAAAGTGTCCCTCGCGGGTCAAAATAACCCGAAGGCTTAAAATGACACTAATTTTTATTTTAGTCCAGAAATCTCATTTTGATCAATTTTTATACTTTTTTCTAATTATTTATGTAGGGTTTTTTTATTATTTTTTGGTGATTTTTATTTTATGTACCTTAAATTCTGGATATTTCTAAGAAAATATGAGCAAATAAGCAATTTTGTCACAGTATTTCAGCCAAAAAAAAAAAAGACTCCATTTTCATCAAAAGCCTACAGATGAACCAGTCTTTCTGTCATCTGGTGGAAAAAAAAGTCATAAAATTATGGTTACTGCCACTAGAGGGGCCTATAGGATCCTATGGAGATTCTTAAAGGGGTCATATGATGCTGCTATGTGTTTATGCGGTTTAAGGTTCAAAAAACACATTATTTTCCACATACTGTACATTATTGTTTCTCATCTATGCCCCGCCTTTCTGAAACGCGTCGATTTTTACAAAGCTCATCGGTCTGAAAAAGCGTGGTGTGCCGTGATTGGCCAGCTATCCAGTGCGTTGTGATTGGCCGAATACCTCAAGCATCTGACGGAAATGTTACGCCCCTTACCACATTGTGATG